TGCAACTCAGACACTCCTTAGGTTTCACTTTGAGAGCTACTGTGGGATTGAGGTCAATGAGGGCTGGCATAAAGATGGACAGCCAGGCTCCACCTCCCTGGTTCCCTTAATCCTTTTCTCTCCACCCCACCCCCACTACTGCCTCACTTTGACCAGTGTCCTGGGCCTTTAAGAGTTGGATGGGCTGGACTAAGGAGAGAGCTCATACCTCTGTCCACCCCACTCCTTCCCTCTGGCTCTAACTCTGCCAGTCACAGCAGCAAACTGCAGTGGAATAGGGAAGGAAGCAAGCGAGTACAAGAGGAGCAAAGGAGAAAAGAAGCCAGGCTGAGCTTCCTCATCCACAGTGGAGACCATCGCAGAACTCAGGAGGCATAGCTCACAGACACAGGACTACAATTCTGCTATCCTGCCCACGGTAAGGGCCTGGACGCTCTGACCCGCCTCTGCTCTAAGCTCTGTCTTGCCTGAGTCCCTAATTCTGCCCTCCAGATATTTATCCACCCCGATTAAATTGTTTCCTAGACTTCTTTACCTACCCCAACAGCTCTACAGGGTTCTGACCTGGTTCTTTCTGGTTTATCCTCTTTGATGCTTACAGTTTTACTCCTGGCTGTGTCGGTTACCCCTGTATATGAGGAACCTCTTAGCTGTGCAGAACCAGCAGTGATCCTGCTACGCCTCAGAGGTGAGCTCCATCCCCAGTAAAAGAAGAGAAAGAATTGAAGTAGCCAAGCTTTAGCTTAGATTCATTAACAAATTGTTGAGGCTTGCAAAATGAGGGTTGGCCAAAATCCATGGGGAGTCAGAAACACTATGGTAATAGAGAAAAATTATGAGACTTCCTTGGAACGAATCAGGGTTTGAGTTTTATGCCCCATTCTTTGCTTGCTCAATGGGCCTGAGCAATTTCTTGGTCCACAGAGTGCTATGCTGGAAAGAACACTTGCTTCTAGTCCTGCCTCTGCCGTTAGCTAGCTATGGGTCTTTTTAACCACAACTTCCTGATCTGTGATAGGAGGGAGTTTAGAGTTTCCCAGACTTTCCCATGGTACCAGATGTGCTTATTAAATATATTCGTGAAGCCTATCCTTAGAAATTCTGATCTAGTATATTTGGGGTAGGGCTAAAGAATTCACATTTTAAGACATTCTCCAGGGGATATTGATGTAGTTGGGAACCTCTGGATTAGATGTGTTATAATAGGACTTTCAAGCTCGTAACATTCTGAGAGCTATGACCTCAACCAGAGCATTCCATCTTCTTTATATGAACCAGGTTAGCCATCATCCTTCTCTGAAGCAAGGGAATAAACAAAATGATTCTCTTTCTTCCTGCCCCTCCGAGAGACCTGAGACATCGTGAATTCCACTGTAATCTCATTGGTGCCATTGGCGACTCTGCCAAAGTCCATCTCTAGGTGATGTGAAACCACTCAGAAGCTGAGGACCAAATTGGCAGCTCTGGGCTACTTCCCACCGTATTTTGTGTCTCTGTTTTCCCACCTATATGAGAGAAGTAATTATCTGTATCCTTGAAGATCTCCATATATGTGTCTAGAAGGTCGTACTTAAGATCTAAGCTCCCTTACTCTCAGACATCGTCTGTGCCTTTGACGGTGCTTGCCCCCTCAAACCCTTTGCTCCTTCCCTCTTCACTACATCTACATCAGCTGTGACCATCCTTCCCAACCTACCTTCAGACACCAGGGGAAACACGAAGACCTAGAATACCTATGTTCTAGCTCGCATTCTCTGGGCAGTATTTTTGGTCAATATCCTAGGATACAGCAGAGGGACAGGCTAATGAGTATCTGAACCCAAATGTCTTCCTCTTGGACCACAGTCTCAAAATCCTCAAAGGGGATGAGAATCAGAGCTATTGGGAATTAGTGGAGACAAAAGAGGGAACGTACAGGAAGAGGTGATGGGGAGAAGGGATGAGGACAAGGTTGAGAAGAGGAGAGGCTGACTTAAGTGAACAAATAGGAAAACAGAGAGAGAATCAAAAGAGAGAAGAGTGAGCTGAGGAGAAAGGAAAAGGACTGAGGAGGCATGGGTTGAGGAAAGGAAAGAAAATGGGAAGAAAGAAAAGAAAGGTTATTCAGTGGAATACAGAGGGAACAAAAATGATGGAGGAGTGAGACAAAATGTCAATGTCCCTCATTGATTCCTAGCCTTGCTTCAACCTGCTTCAGACTCTTTCTAAGGGCAAAGTCTTGACAAGATCCCTGAGTTGGTTGTATGGAGACCTGAGTTCTAGTTCTAGTTCTGTCACTCATTAAGTGACTTTGGCAGTTCACCTAATATTTCTAGTCCTCAGGTTCCTTCTCTGTAAAATGAAGTCCAGCTCTGATATTCTGTGGCTCCCAGAGTTGAAACTGACACCCTTATGGTGGCCACATGTCACCTGGATACCAGGGTTTTTTTTTCTTTCTTTCTTTTTTTTTTTTTTTTTTTGGAGACAGGGTGACAGGGTCTCTCACTCTGTTGCCCAGGCTAGAGTGCCATGGTGTCAGCCTAGCTCACAGCAACCTCAAACTCCTGGGCTCAAGCGATCCTCCTGCCTCAGCCTCCCAAGTAACTGGGACTATAGGCATGCGCCACCATACCCGGCTAATTTTTTTTATTTTTGGTAAAGACGGGGTCTCACTCTTGCTCAGACTGGTCTCGAACTCCTGACTGAGCTCAAGAGATCCTACCACCTCAGCCTCCAAGAGTGCTAGGATTACAGGCGTGAGCCACTGTGCCCGGCCTGGATATCGGTTTTAAATAGTGATTCATGAATGGGAGCAGAAGTAGAAGAACAAAGCTATGCCTGGGGTTGGAAGACTTGCACAAAGGAGGAAAAAATAATTTTCTAAGATTGGTTTGTGAGGAGAGAGTCTCCAAAATAGGGGTGTTCAGGTACTTGGGCTCTGTTCTCAGGTTTCCCATGTTTTAGGACATTATTGTGAGAAGCACAGGGATCAGGGAAGCTAATTCCATCTTCTTACAGACCCAAAGCTCACCCTAACCCAGAGCCCCTATGCCCCAGAGATAGGAGCTGAAGTTCAGAGAGGAGATAAGGCAGGGTGTTAGCAAAGATAGACTTCAGCCCCAGGCCAACCTCACTCCCCTATAGTTCGAGGAAAGAAATTTAAGAGAGACCTATTACTTTCTACTTCAGTCGTAAAGCTTCTGCAAACCTCATAAGAGACTCTTCTGTTTCTTGGGAAGCACTTTAGGTCCCTTCCTCCATCCAGAGGTTTCTTCTGGTCTCTCCCAGGCAGAAATATTCTTTTCTTCCTTGAACTATTTCTCTCCTGAGAGACTGCTTCCCAATCTTCCCCTCTCATTCTGGATACCTGCACACTGCTACCCCTTTAGAAAGCCTTCTCTAGGTCCTGTATTCAGGGAAGCTACATTTTCAGTGACTCACACATTCTCCTTGAAGTCTCAGTCTTTCTTAGATAACTTTATAGGGTCTTTCCCCTGAAGAGAGATAGGACACTAATATGCTATGTGACCTCAGACAAGTCACATCATATTTATGGACTTCTGGTTTTTTATCTGTAAAATATAGGGAGTTGAATTGCATGATGTATTTATTCATGGAACACTAACTGAATGATCGCTTTATGGATTTTTTTAGTTGTTTTAAATGCTCGCCACTGTCAAAATTTTAAACTTTTAAATTAAGAAGCACAACATATTTTTATTCAAGTGTGAGTTCTTTGCTTATGCGAAAGAACAGAGCTTGGCCAGGTGCAGTGGCTCACACCTATGATCCCAGCACTTTGGGAGGAAGAGGTGGCAGGATCACTTAAAGGCCAGGAGTTCAAGACCAGCCTGGGCAACAGGGAGAAACCCTGTCTCTACCAAAAAAATAAAATAAAATTAGCCAAGTGTGGTGGCGTGCACCTGTAGTCTTAGCTACTTGGGAGGCTGAACCAGGAGGATCACTTGAGCTTAGGTTAGGAGCTAAAGGTTGCAGTGAGCTGTGATCACACCACTGCACTCCAGCCTGCATGACAGAGCAAGACCCTGTCTCAAAAAAAGAAAATACACGCACACACACACACACACACACAAAGCATAGGGCTTTATGTTTCATGAGTTTTGTCAGTTTGATCTGGTCAAGAGTTGAGTATTTCTATAGGGGCAGAGCTAAAATCACTGTGGCCACATATCAAATCTAGTTCTTTTCAAGGGAAGTTTGTTATTAGCTACTAGGACAACTTAACTAGGTCCTAAATTGGACAGCATATATCTTAAAGGAGGTACCCTTTTTTAGTAGGTAGGGAAAATTCGAAAGTGCTGTTCTAAGACTTGTGTAACTTATTTGGTCCATTGCAACTGTGAGAATAACTTCTATGAAAAAGAGTATAAAATATGCTTTATACCATGTGAAGGTGAAAGACAACTAAGTGTTATAGAAGAGACAAAAAAAATACTCTGCTCTAGCCTTTCAGGAGATGGACAATCTACATGGGAGTATGGCAAGGGCTCCCAGAATAGGAAAGCTGGGATGATTCCACCTAGAAAAGAGAAGGCTAGGGTACGGAGAGATTCCAGGTTCTGAAAGGGGGCAGCCAGCAAGATGATGGTTCCTAATAATGAGAGCATGGGAAGTAGTCAAAGAGTGGCACGAGATTACCTAGTAAATTGTGGAGTATTTGGTAGAAAAGTGGTGTTTGACAGCTGCCCTGGTTTAGCCCTCTCCAGAGATAGCCATGGGAAAAAACAGAGGCTCTGGGATCAACTATATCTGGGTTTAAATTCAGATCCCATGTGATTTGAGGCAGGTTGCTTAGTCTATTTAAGCCTCAGAGTCATCAAACTCAAATTAGAAGAAAAAATAGCTACAGACTATGTAGATGAAGTGCCTGACACATAGTGGGCACCCAGGAAACACTAGTTTCCTTTCCTTACTCCCTTGATCTCAAGATTGACCCGAAGCCCTTTGTTCCTCCTTGCTCCTTTAGGTGACTCTGGCGCCAACTGGTGGAGCAGTGGGTGATGGCATCCCTGCTGCAAGACCGTGAGTACCCTTGCAGGGGAAGAGGGCTTGGGGGACAGCCCAGGGAAGGGGAGGAGTCTGGACCCCTGTTCCAGAGCTCCTCCTGGGCCCTCTACCCTCCCTGCTGGCTACCTGGCACCTCCTTTTCCTGACTCAGAGCTGACCACTCATCAGGACCTGCTGCTGATGCAGGAAGGCATGCTGATGTACAAGGTGAAGTCCAAAACCTGGAAGAAGCTAAGATACTTCAGACTTCAGAATGACGGCATGACAGTCTGGCATGAGCGGCAGGCCAAGGGCAGGGCCAAGCCCAGCTGTGAGTGACCTGGATAGCTAGGGTTGGGCACATGGGTGGATAGGGCCCTGCAGCCTGAGGGAAGGGGAGGGACCAGGGTCCTACGATAGTGTGCCCTTGTGCTGTCCCACTGTGGCTGTGTCTGAGCCTGTAAAAGGAGATCATAACGGCACTTGCCTTATAAGGTGTTATGAGGATTAAATTACTTATTGCATATATAGGGCTCATAAGAGTCCTAGCACATAGTAAGGTTCAATAAATCATAAGTTTATATCTTATTATTACTATTATTACTATTATTATAAGAGCATGATCTCAGGCATCAGCCTGGCTGAATTAAAGCCCTAGCTCTGCCACTTTCTAGCTGGGTGGCTTCAGACAAGTTAAGTAATCAAACTAAGCTTCAGTTTCCTCATCTGTAAAACAGGGATTAAATAGTACCTGCCTAGTAGGTTACAGGGACTCAATGAATTAACATGTAAAGCACTTAGCATGGGATCTGAAACCAGGATGCATTTAATAAATGTTAGCCATTATGACAAATATTTTTAAATAACAAAAATGTATCATAACAGTGTGCATCCTATAGGCCAAACTCTTTATGATACCTCTAAAAATTTGATCACAGGACACATCTAAAAGAGTCTGCTTCAGAGACATAATCAAAGCTCATGATCCACATCACCCTCAGCTGAGGTAAGGGGCTGGAAGTATTTCTCTGGCTCCCTCTTAGGCATCTAGAAAGAGGAAGCCCTCAAACCTGGAATGGAAAAACTGAACTAGGGCATATAATGCTTTGTTGTAACTGCTTCTACCCTTCAAATATGTTTCCATTTGTCATCCCCACCAGTCCTCCTATGATCACCATCAGGACTGGCCATGGAAGGGGACCATCCATTATTTAAGATGAGGACACTGAGGGGTTAAGTTGTTTTGGTCTGTGTCACACTGCCAGCTGGTGGTTGGAAGCCAGGTCTTGCCACTCCTAGCTTAGGCCCCTTGCCATGCTACCTACGCAAACATCAGTGACTTGCATGGACTCATGAATCCCAGGGGTCTGTCTCTCTCTGTACTAATGCTTTTTGGGATTCAGCCTGCAGAGACTGGGGTTCCTCCTTTCTGTGGCTTCATAGAGAAGAGGGTGCTAGTCCTTGACCCTTAGCCCCTATAATCTGTTGGACTCCTTTCCTTAGTGCTTCCACCTGCTTCTTCTCTGGCAGTCTCAATCTCTGATGTGGAGACAGTGCGTAAGGGCCATGATTCTGAGTTGCTGCGCAACCTGGCAGAGGAGTTCCCGCTGGAGCAGGGCTTCACCATTGTCTTCCATGGCCGCCGCTCCAACCTGGACCTGGTGGCCAACAGTGTGAAGGAGGCCCAGATCTGGATGCAAGGGCTCCAGCTGTTGGTGGACCTCGTCACCAGCATGGACCAACAGGAACAGCTGGACCAGTATCAGCAGGATAGAGTCAGAGTAGGGGCGGGAGGCGGGGGACACTGAAGGAGCCAGATGCTGCAGGTCTAGGGAAAGTGGGAAGGGGTGTGGGGTTAGAGAGGCCCAAGGGTCCATATGCCAGCAAGGGCAAGGACAGCTCAGGCCAATCTGAGGCTGAAGATACTGAGGGAGGAACGGATGCTAGGGATGGTAAAGACATGGCCAGGCAGAGTTTGGGCATGAATCAGGACACCCAAGATTGAAGGAAGAGCCAATGAGAGGCAGAGGAGCAAACAAGGTGCTGCTCCTGAGAGCTGAACAGATCTCAGTGTCATTAACTACCATAGGGGTGGGAAGCAACCTCTTAGAAAGCTTGTGGCATAGATTCACTTCAAGTTTCCTGGTTTATATGCCAGTTTGTTCGTTTATTCATTCATTTACCATCTATTAAGCAGAATGTAACAGGCACTATGCCAAGCTATAGGAATACAAAGATTAATGAGACTCAGATATTGCTTCAGTTAGTAGAAACGATCGAATTGTGTAAATAAGTGCCACAGAAGTGGTAACGTACTTATATGATTTGTGAGTATTTAAAGGAAGGATATTTAATTCTACCTGAGAGAGTTCTGAAAAAGCTTCAGGGAAGAAATAGCATGTGAGCTGGACCTTGAAAATGAGTAGAATACGAGCATGAAGAGAGGAGGAGGGAAAGGCATTCCGGTCTAAGGGAACAGCATGAGTAAAGGCCCAGAGAGCAACTGAAGAGCAGGAGAGAAAGAGAGAGTTGGGACATCAGAGAACAGGGAGTTGTTGAGTCTGGCTAAAGTGCAAGGAGGACAGAGATGTATTGAGAGGTTGGGTTGGGCCCAGATCACAGGCACAAAGAAGATCTTAACTTCCTTTTTTTTTTTTTTGAGACAGAGTCTTGCTTTTGTCGCCTGGGCTAGAGTGCAGTGGTGTCATCACAACTCACCACAACCTCAAACTCCTGAGCTCAAGTGATCTTTCTGCCTTAGCCTGGGTAGCTAGGACCACAGGCATGCCTCACCATGCCCAGCTAACTTTTTTATTTTTAGTAGAGATGGGGGTTTCACTGTTCCTCAGGCTGGTCTTGAATTCTTGAGCTCAAGTGATCCTCCCACCTTGGCCTCCCAGAGTGCAGGTGTGAGCCACCGTGCTGGGTCCAAGATCTTAACTTCTTTTTTTTTTTGAGACAGAGTCTCACTGTGTTTCCCAGGGTAGAGTGAGTGCCGTGGCGTCAGCCTAGCTCACAGCAACCTCAAACTCCTGGGCTCAAGCGATCCTCCTGCCTCAGGCTCCCGAGTAGCTGGGATTACAGGCATGCGCCACCATGCCCGGCTAATTTTTTTCTATATATTTTTAGTTGTCTGATTAATTTCTTTCTATTTTTAGTAGAGACAGAGTCTCGCTCTTGCTCAGGCTGGTTTCGAACTCCTGAGCTCAAACAATCCGCCCGCCTCGGCCTCCCAGAGTGCTAGGATTACAGGCGTGAGCCACCGCGCCCGGCCAGATCTTAACTTCTATGTTAAGGAATATGAATTTCTTTCTGCAGGCCACAGGGAGGTCTCTGCAGGCACCTGAGCCATGCAGTGAAGAAAGATAGATTGGTGCTCTGGAGAGATTATTCTAGAAGCTATATGGGAAATGGATTTGCACTAGGGAGAAACTGGCAGCAAAGACAAGGGAGAGATGTCAATGGGTTAACATGCACACGCAAACACACACATATGGTGCTTTTTGCCTTAACTCAGACCTGGATGGCTGAGTGACTGGTTCCAGCGTGGAGACAAAAACCAGGATGGTCGGATGACTTTCCAAGAAGTTCAGCGGTTACTGCACTTGATGAATGTGGAAATGGACCAAGAATATGCCTTCAATCTTTTCCAGGTAAGTCTACTGGGGAAATATTTGCAGGGGCCAGCCAGGCCACATTTTCCCTTGGCTGTAAGTCCTCTGACCCTAATCAGCTACACTCAATTGTTGAATCTCTACTATGTGCCCTAGCATCATGCCAGGCTCAGTGGGAAGTATAGGACATGATTCTTGCCCTTCAGTCTTGTTGGAAAGATGAGTCATAATTCTGTGAAATGTAAATAACAATATGTTATGTTGTACCTCAAGGACCTCTCTGTCCATGGCCAGAATTTCACAGGTACATGGAGCAATGGAAAGCCCCAGTTGGAATGTGCGCAAATAGGAGAAGGAGTCTTTTGACCTTTTAGGGATCTTTGGGAGATTTAACTCTTTCTAGTTGAAAATTTTCTCTAGTAGCAAATGGCATGCTAAATTTTGCTTTTTACTTACTGAAGTGATTTCTTCTATGAACACTAAATATCAGGAGTTCTATGGGAGTTTTATGGAAGCATGTTTTATGGAAGTATGTCTGTCAGTAAGATTATTCTCACAGGGCAAGTCCAGGTCATAAAATTTCCCGTTAAAGGGTTCATCCACTTTCCCTAAACCCTCTCTTGCAGGCAGCAGACACATCCCAGTCTGGGACTCTAGAGGGAGAAGAATTTGTACAGTTCTATAAGGCATTGACTAAGCGTGATGAGGTGCAGGAACTATTTGAAAGCTTTTCAGCTGATGGGCAGAAGCTGACCTTGCTGGAATTTTTGGATTTCCTCCAAGAGGAGCAGAAAGAACAAGACTGTGACCCTGAGCTTGCTCTGGAACTCATCGACCGCTATGAACCTTCAGACAGCGGTAAGAGCAGTCAGATGGAGAGGCATCAGACATGGGTGTTGGGGGAGGATGAGTCTACCCATACCCTGGCCCCCTGCCCAATTATCTCATTTAGCCACTCCTGAAATATAACAGGCATTGCCTGCCTGGACAAGACAGAGGTCTCCTCTGTAATCCTAGATCTCTCAGGAGGAAGAAGATTCCACAGGTTTCCTTTCCTCTGCTATGCTTATGTTTCATATCCTTTACTTTCAGGAAGTTCTTCCCGATATTAACTTCATCCTCAATGGAAATGGAAAACCTTTGTTCTTCTTGCTTTGGCCTCTTCTTTAGTGCAAATGATCCCTTTTCCTCTGGTTCTTCTTCATGGCTCCTGTTTGCTGTCCCTTTAAATGCAGGCTCTGTACCCTTTCCTGGGCTTTCCTCAAATTCTCCAAGTGGTTTTTAAGTTTCTAAGGCCCTGAGCCAAAAGCTAGTCAGCCCCTGGCTGGGGGGATGATGAGGAGGCCAATTACTTAGGTTTTAACAAGTGCAGCTAAAATATGCCCTCTTGGTCCTCGAACCTTCCTCCCTTTGCCCTTTCTGTAAGCTCATTTCTTGCCCTCCATTCCCTTCAGAGTGTGAGGAATTTACATTAATAATAAATGGTTTATAAGACACTTTCACATTCCTCACTTCATTTAATCTTCACTAAAACCTTGTAAATCAACAGCAATAATCTTTATTGGACCTTTGCTAAGTATCCCATAATGCACTAATATCTCTACATGCCTTTTCTAATACAGTGATCTGTTGAAATGGCTTCTGTTATTAAGTCAATTGTATAAAAGAGGAAACCCGGGTTTAGAAAGATCAAATGACTTGCTCAAAGCCAATAGCTAATGAAACAGGAATTGGGATTCAAACCCAGGTCATCTGATTCTTACCTGGTGCCTCCCTTGAGAATGAGGGTAAGAGATGGGATGATTGAGAGCTGGACAAGCAATCCAGGTTTCCTGGGCCTCAACTGCCACTCCCTTTCATTCATTCATTCATTTACTACTTCAGCCAAGGCTTATTGAGTACTACCTGTAATATATCAGGGCCTATGTTAGGCACCAGAGATACAGCAGTGCCTAGGTCAGACGAGGACACTGCCCCCATGAACTTAGAGTCAAAGAGAAAGTATAGAATCAGTGGTTCCAGATTTGTGTGAGTGTTCAGAGAATAATGGAGTCTGTAAAGCAATCATTTCAGAAAATGAAATTGAAGAGGGTGCAGACATAGGATCTTCTGTTCCTAGTGCAGGAGCCAGTTATACATCAGTTACATTTATTCTACCCCCAACCCCTCTTGGTTTTCCCTCCCCTTGCACTTGACAATCAGATACTACACTCTGACCGTAGAATGTAGTATATCAGTCAAAAAACCTGGGCTCAAGTCCCCACTGTACTTCTTATTGACTGAGTGACCTTGGGAAAGTCACTTAACTTCTCTGTGATTCAGTTTTCTCATTTGTAAATAACTGGTGATCAAATGAAATAATGAACATAAAAAGTATCTGGCAACTGTGGGTTTATCTGAGCAATTTGAGTTATAACTGTCAAGAATGAAACTTCCTGCCCAACTTCCTGTCATTCTTCACCATCTCCAGGCCTTGTGAAACCTGGAGCTAGGAAGCTGGGCATGAAAGTCAAGTTGTTCCCCCACTCAAGCCTCCCTGCAGCAACATAACTCTTGGTGAGACTGCACAGTCCACTGGTGCAGGGCATGGCTCTGACAGCTGGCTGCCTGGGTTCAAATCCCAGCTTCTCCAATTTCTAGTTATGTGACCTGGGGCAAGTTACCTAACCTCTCATGTCGGATTATATTTACCTCATCATGTTAGTGAGCGCATTAGTGAGATGCTTCATATAATGTCCTTGGCATAGAGTAAATATTCAATTACTATTAGTCATCATTGTTGTTATTATATAAAGCCCAGGCTGAGATAGGTAAGAGTTATGGAAGAAGTAACAGGGCCCATCCCTCAACTAGAGTGTAGTCTAAGGGAAAGTTGACAAATGCTCCTCAAAACTTCACATGGGAGCTATATGGGTGGAAAAAACCTCAGGTCATAGTTAGTGGCAACTACACAGCCCAATGGAGAAGACATAGGTACCTTGGCTGTGTCACTGACAAGTTTTTAACAGTTTCCCCATCTATAAAATTAGCCCTTTGGATACTGTAATGTCCCTTATGGTAACTGTGAGCTCCATTGTGGCTATTTAAATTTAAATTAACTAAAATCAAATAAAATTTAAAATTCAGTTCCTCAGTCATAACAAGCCACATTCAAAGTGCTCAATAGCCACATGTAGCTGAGGCTACCATATCTGACATTGCAGAATAGAACGTTGTAGAAAGTTCGAATGATCTTTTTTTTGGTTCCCAGTGGCTTCCAAATGAAATTATCTTAATGATTCTCTTTTTTTCTTTTTCTTTTCTTTTCTTTTCTTTTTCTTTTTATTTTTTTTTTTGAGACAGAGACTCACTGTGTTGCCCGGGCTAGAGTGCTGTGGCATCATCCTAGCTCACAGCAACCTCAAACGCCTGGGCTCAAGCGATCCTCCTGCCTCAGCCTCCTGAGTAGCTGGGACTACAGGCATGAGCCACCATGCCTGGCTAATTTTTTTTTTTATATATATATTTTTTAGTTTTCCAATTAATTTCTTTCTATTTTTAGTAGAGACAAGGTCTTGCTCTTGCTCAGGCTGGTTTTAAACTCCTGAGCTCAAACAATCCACCCACCTTGGCCTCCCAGAGAGCTAGGATTACAGGCGTGAGCCACCGCGCCCGGCCCAATGATTCTCTTTAATATTCTCTGAGGGTTGGAATGATTGAATTGATAAACACTGGGTGGAGCAAGTTTGGCTTCTGAAGGCTGGGAATGGAAAGGCAGGACCCTGAAGGGGGAGGGATGGAGGATGGGCTGTAGCTGTACCGGGATGTTCCTACTCAGAGCTTCTCACTCTACTGTTCCCCACTCCACACCCTAGGCAAACTGCGGCATGTGCTGAGCGTGGATGGCTTCCTCAGCTACCTCTGCTCAAAGGATGGAGACATCTTCAACCCAGCCTGCCTCCCCATCTACCAGGATATGACTCAACCCCTGAGCCACTACTTTATCAACTCCTCGCACAACACCTACCTAATGAGAGACCAGCTTTGTGGCCAGAGCAGCGTCGAGGGATATATATGGTGCAGTGGGGGGAGACATGGGTCCAGATAATGACAGAGATCATCTGTGGGAAACTGAAGGGCACTGTCAGAGTATATCAGATTGAGAAGGTGTTGTGGGGGGTGGGTAGTGGCTGAGGGTCCTTGGATACCTGAGGCACTTGGAGGAGATATTGAAGACTGATAGGAAAATGGCAATGAAACTCTATGGGTAAATGGAACTTCTCTCTCTTTTGCAAGCTATGAAACTGTCTTGGAACTCGGAGGCCCTGACAGATTTATAATGAACAAATAAAGTGAATGTTAAATGGAAGGCGGTAGAGCATAGGAGTTAAAAACATAGTTTCGGGAGTCAGACCATCTGAAATCAAATCCTAGTTCCCTCACTTGGTACTCTGGGGCTAAGTATTTAACCTCTCTATGCCTCAGTTTTCCCATCTATGAAATAGGGATGATAACAGCATCTGGGTTGTTGTAAAGATCCAATGAGGTAATTCATGCGTGAATAGCTAAAAAGTGGTAGCTGCTTTTGTTGGGATTAATGATGGATTAGATTGAATAGTCAAGATAGCTTTGTAGTGCCAGCACTGAACTACTAGCTTTAAGGGATACAGAGATGAGTGGAACATATAGTGTCTACTTTAGGGAGTCTAGCTGAGAAAATACGGTATAAATTTACTGAGAGTTTGAATAACCCAGGTGTTACATAGGGATATAAAACAAGAACACCAGAAGTTTCATGAGCCAATGTGTGATGCGTTATAATGGAGAGATTTTGAGTTGGGTGGGGTGAGATGGGACGGAGATCAGTGTGAGCTGCAGCAGTGTCCCAGCGGACAGAGAAGGCTCCATGGAGATGTAGTTTGAAGGGGTCTGGATGGGTAAGTGGGTAAGTTCTCTCCAGAGTGGGGAGAGGGTCCCTAGGTGAAAGATCAGATCTTGACCTCTCTGGTCTCTGGGGGTTGGGTTTCTTGCAGGGCCCTGAAGCAGGGGTGTCGCTGCGTAGAGGTGGATGTATGGGATGGACCTAGTGGGGAACCCGTCGTTTACCATGGACACACCCTGACCTCCCGCATCCTATTCAAAGATGTTGTGGCCACAGTAGCACAGTATGCCTTCCAGGTAGTAGCCCCAGGATGGGAACATTGGTGAGGCAAGAAGGTCTGAGGGAAGAGTGACTGACTCTGGGTCTCAGGAGGGTAGAGGGGACCTGCAGGGGGGTTACATCAAATGGCATTATATGTGTAAAAGAGGTCTTAACTGAAAAGCATCAGGCAAATATTAAAGGATTATTATGAATAAGTGTTAGATATGTTATGAGTAATTAGTAGTCATAGAGGTAATTACAAATTATTAGTAATTATTATTTCTAAGCTCTATCACCCATCTGGGAGAGGATAGACTGGAAATAGACAGTGGTGAGTAGGGCCAAAGGATAATAGGAGTGTAACGTGAATAAACCATAAACCAGAATGCTCAAAGGTCCCAGAGGGACCTGGGTTGGACTTGACACAGGTAAGATATTAGGTGTCCTAAGATGTAGATATCCATTTAGATGCGGATAGTGTCCCTGGGTGGGCTTCAGACCCAGCAAGCTCTCATTGAACCCTGTAATGGGGTTGGAGGTGTTTAGCAATTAGGATACCCATTTAAATGAGTAAATAGGAGGGCTTAGGAAGCAGGTGTTTGGAGAAGGAGGTGACAGGGCTTTAGAACTCTGGATCCAGCGTCCCCTCCCCTCACCACCAGACATCAGACTACCCAGTCATCTTGTCTCTGGAGAACCACTGCAGCTGGGAACAGCAGGAGACCATAGCACACCATCTGACTGAGATCCTCGGGGAGCAGCTGCTAAGCACCACCTTGCATGGGCTGCTGCCCACTCAGCTGCCCTCACCTGAGGTAGGGACCCTGTTCCCCCATCTCAGACTCTATCATGGCTTCCATATTCCCTCACCTTGGCCCCTTCCTCCATGCCCCTCTGTTCCCTTCTTTCTATCCTCAGATGGAACATCTTACTCTTTAATATCCTTGGAGACAACTTTAATTTTTAAAAAATCTAATTGAACACAGAATCCTATTTACAGTTTTCTAAGTTTTAAATCAA